TGGCCTCTCAGGAGCCCGGAAATGCACACCCGCACCCATGGTCACTGGGCGCTCCGAGCCCAGGACCCTCTGAGCCCTAGGCCGCCTTCTGCACCCTGCCGCCCCTCCCTGACCCCTGTGGCGCAAAGGGCTCTGATTTCTAACGTCGCAGTTAAAACATAAAAGGCCACCCAAAACCTGAATATCCACGTTACCTAAAGTAGAGAAAATCCATTCTTAGTTTTAAAAATGACACGGCTCCAACTTTGACATAGAAAGACAGTCACGTCAGGGCTGGGGGCAGGGCCCACAGGGTAGAGAAAGACTCCACTTCTGGTAAAAAATTATACAGATCTATTTCCGTGCGTATACCTGCCTGTGCAAATGCACGATCTGCATGTGCTTGTGCACAGACACATCATCATCAAGGGCTACTGTCCACACGTGCGTATTTCTCTACGCCAGCGTAAAGCTCGGTGTGCTCAAGTGCGGCAGGGGGATGCTCCCTTTGCTCATATGGACTGTACTAATTTTGCCACGAGGAGCATGGATTCATTATTTCAGAAAAGTGAAACACAACCAGACCACACGCTTACGTAACTTCGCCAGCTCAGGACCCCTTTTCTCTGCTTGTCAGCATTTTCCTAACCCTCCAGAAGGCACATATCTCCCTCCAGAATGGAAGACAGTCAGCAGTTCGGAGAACCATGCCCAAGTCTGGAATTCTGCCTCCCCACGCCCAGGCCCCAGGTCCTATGGATGGAGGCGTGGCCACAAAACCCAATGGGCAGTGTGCTTTGCACCCAAAAGAAACACGCGTGCATGTGCATGCACATACACACCTGAATGCACACACACACACTCCACTGGGAAGATGAGGAGACAGAGAGGAGACAGTGAGCCGAGGAGCCCCAGAGTCACTGAGCTCCGAGGCCATGCCCGCCATAAGAAGCTGGCCTGGCCTTGGTCTGCCTGAACCTGAGGCACTGTGACACGGCCTCATAGCCCCGCTCTACGGGGACCCACTGCCCAAGCCCAGGGGGACGGCACCGGAGTACCCTGGAAAGGGAGGCACCTGCAGCCACAGAGCAGGAACCAACACGTCTGCAGAGCCCCGGCTGAAAAAGAAACTTGGCATTCAGTTCTGAAGGGACATGCTCGGGCCGCCCCGTCCGCCAGGGCAGGCTGCCTCTAGGAACCGCGGGTTTCCTGGGTGTGGATGTGAACCCGCTTGGCTGAGGTGGGTCTTCACCATCAGTGGGTCCCTGTGGCCACCTCCTGCTTTTGCTGAGAGGGTGGCGTGGGAGCAGCCTTCGGGGTGGCAGGAGGCTGCACGGCCCTGCACCCCCGGGGAGGAGGCCCTCCTGCCCCAGCTGTCTCCAGGGCCCGCTCTTCTCACCCCCGATGCCCGTGGGATCTCCCTGGAGGACCCAGCACACCACGCCCACCTCCAGAAGGCGCAGGAGGCCCCAGCTAGGGGTGTGTGTGTGTGGTGTGTGACTGTGTGGTGCCTGTGTGGGGTGTGGTTTGTGGAATGTGTATACGGGCATCTGTGTGTGACACATGGTATGTGGTGTGTGTTATGTGTGTGTGTTTGCGGTGTGTGACAGTGTATATGGTCTGTGTAGTCATGTTGTGTGTGGTGTGTGTTGTATATGTATGTAGTGTGGTGTGTGTGTTGTGTATTGTGTATGTATGTGGTGTGGTTTATGGGAGGGTGTGTGTGGTCTGTGCAGTGTGGTATGTGTGGTGTGATTTATGTGGTGTTTGGTTTGAGTGTGGGTCTGTATGTGTGTGTGGTGTGTTATGTATGTGGTGTGGTTTATAGGTGTGTGTGGTGTGTGCAGTGTGGTGTGATTTATGTGGTGTTTGGTTTGGGTGTGGGTCTGCGTGTGTGTCTGGTATGTGTGTGTGGTGTATGGTGTGTGTTGTGTGTGGGGTGTGTGTGTGAGGGGCATGTGTATGTGGGGTATGGTGTGGTATGTGTAGTGTGTTGGGGTGTGTGTGTTGTATATGTGTATGTGTGTGGTGTGGTTTATGGGGGTGTGTGTGTGCAGTGTGGTGTGATTTATGTGGTGTTTGGTTTGTGTGTGTGTGGTGTGTGCAGTGTGGCGTCATTTATGTGGTGTTTGGTTTGTGTGTGTGTGGTGTGTGCAGTGTGGCGTCATTTATGTGGTGTTTGGTTTGTGTGTGTGTGGTGTGTGCAGTGTGGCGTCATTTATGTGGTGTTTGGTTTGAGCGTGGGTCTGTGCCTGGGTGTGGTGTGAGGCATTCAGCCCGCCCGGGCCCTCTGGGTGGCCTCGTGACACGGCCCTCAGTGGCCCTTCCTCCTGGTGGGACAGGACGCCTCGGGCTCCCTGGAAAGGCCGGTCCTTCCCGGGAGGCCTCAGAGCCTCAGGCTGCGGCCTCAGTGGCACAAGGGAAGGTCCCGGATGGACAAACAATTCTGGAGAACACAGTGCACACACGAGGAGGGGCAGGGGTCCAGGCCCCAGTTTCCCTCTGTTCCATCCACCCTGAGCGCTGGGGGACACTCTCCCCAGCGTTCTCCAGGCTCCGGTGCTCCCAGCTCCTCAAGCCACTTCTCCCGCTGGGGCTGCCAGACCACAGCTGAGCTCCTGATCCTTCGGTCCTGCCAGGGAGGTGCTGGCAGGAGATGGAAGTCGGGAGGAAGAAACGACTCTCAGCTTCTCGAAGCCCCTCAGCAGCTGCAACAGCAGCACAGGCAGCGTGGCCCACGTGGGGAGGCTTCGGGTCCCAAGGCCACGTGAAGGCTCGTGGCCACTCGGGAGGCAAGGACGGCTCTAAGTATACCCTGCTTCTGCCTGTGGCCAGCAGTGGCTTCCCGTGGTTACTATGTTTTGGGGAAGCGTACCGCCCCTTGTCCCCAGACCTCCCGTCATCTTGGGAACTGAAGCCCTGCACTAAACTCCCGTGTCTGCAATACCCAGAGTGGTTTCTGTTCTGATCCAGCCGCGAGATCATTTTCCCAGGCACCAGTCTTCATCCTCTCCCAATCCCAGGGGCTGTGTGCACGAACGCGTGTGTACATGCACACACCCAGCAAACAGGTCACACACACCTGAGCAGCTCACATTTAAGAGCATACAGATCCCAGCCACGTGGACTCCTGGCCACAAGGCCCTCCTGGAGCACCAGCAAGGGGCCCCAGGACCGTTGCCAGGTTGTGTGACCCAGCACTGAGCATCCTGCCCTCCCAGTGACAAGGAGGCTCCATGTGTGCCTGGGAGGCCACCGCAGGACGGGCCTGGGAGGCTGACGCGGGTTCCGGGGTGGCTGTCCCCAGGGAAAGACGCTGGCCAAGGAGCCACCTGCAGCCCAGGCGCACTGCAAACGTGGCTTTGGCTCCGTCCCATCCCAGTGTGATCCGACACGGGGCCAACACCTCCCAGGCCCCGGGGGTGCACTAGACTCAATCTTTTTGGAGTTTAAACATCATAAAGCAAGAGATTTGCCCCCACTCTGGAGGCTCGAAGTTAATTTTTCAAATCTCCAAATGCTACACACAGTACCCCTCAATGGTTCGCAGACATTGAAGTTAGGATACGCCAGTGACTGGCGAGCCGTAGCCTCTGCGCCATGTCCGGCCCACCCCGGGGTTTCAAAATAAAGTGTGGTGGGCACACAGCCAGGCCCGCGTTGGCAGCTTTCAGCTCCGAAGGCAGAGTTGAGAAGTTGCGACAGAGACCACCCATGGCCACAAAGCCTCAAACAGCTCACATTTGGCTATTTGCAGAAAAAGTTGGTTAGCCCCCAGTGTCCGTAGGAAAGGAGACTAAACTTCTGACGGGCGCAGCCAGGAAGGTGGTGCTCGAGGAGGAGGCCCCAGCCCCAGTCCCCCACCTGGGCAGGTGCCCCGCTCACCTGTGGCCTGGCAGAAGAGGTGGAAGGTCCCCAGGGCATGCACGTGCTGGGCCTGGTCGCTGAGGAAGGGCGGCAGCAAGGTGACCCTCGGGCGGCGGTCAGGCCCGGAACCCGAGGCCGGCCAGGGGCTTCGGGGAGAGGAAGATGAGTCAGGGCCCAGACAGGACAGGGAGGAGGACCCCGGAGGAGGGAGGGGCATAGGAGATGAGGCTGTGAGACAGAGGACAGAAAAGAAAGAGGCTCTGAGGCAGGAGTCGTCAGGAACACACCGCATGCAGAGACAGGAGACAAAGCACAGAAGAGAGGGGCCCAGCGCCGCCCTGGCCCCGCCCGAGCCGTGTGTGGAGGGGCAGGAGACGCGGACCCCGGCCCGGGCCGTGTGTGTGGTGGGGCAGGAGAGGTGGCCCCCCACCCATCAGCACTCTGTGGAGGGAGGGAGCCCACGCAGGCTCAGTAAATTACGTGCACACATTAAGGATATAAGCTTCTGGTTTATTCGGTTACTTTCCAAATGTATACAATTCAAAGTAGAAAAATAAAAACAAAGTAAATCTTATAAAACACAAATGTTTACACCAAAGCATTTGAATCCTATCATGCTGGAAGACGAGACTGTCCACATAGGCACACAAAAATCCAGAGTTTATTGCTCTTTGCCACGGAAAAAAGTCTCCTCTTGTGGGCGTCTGGAGAGGGGAGGTGGAGTGCGAGATCAGCCACAGTGGACCGGACCGCCCATTCGCGCCCTGGGACGGCACCAGGCCCAGCAGGTCCACGACGGCAGCGTTCGTGGGGCTGTGCTGGCCACAGGGCCATCCGTCCACCGCCGCCCAGTTCTCTTCCAGTTGTGGAGAGCTGTCAGGCCAAGGAGGATGTCCAGGCCGTGGTGGGTACAGGATGGAAGCAAAGGGAAACAAGAGACGTTCGGACGACCAGCGAGTCTTGGTGAACGTTCGCCTGTGCGGACAAGAGGTCTCGACCAGCAGCCATGGGCATCGGGTTGTAAGACGCTCATCCCCTCAGCTCTGGGCCGGCGCCACAGTCCCTCGCTCTAAACCCCATGTCGTGGGACAGTCCTCCACTGCCTTCTCCTCTTCAAAAGAGTCAAAGCAACAGAAAAAAGTACAGAAAGAAAATCTCTCTGAAAACGAGGCTTCCCTCGAGGAACAAAATTAAAAAAAAAACTAAGTGTGCTCAAGAGATGGTTTTGTCCACATTTCTAAAAGCAGAAAGAATGCATTTAGCAAAAGTAAGTTTATCCCTGAGAATCTCAAGCAACGTAAGCCATATCTTAACCTAATATACAACAAAACCTAGAAGATGTACATCTTCTAAATATTAAAACATCTGCTTTAGTAATTTAAAGAACAAATGGCCTGACGCACCAATACAATTAAAGCAAAATCCTAAAAAGTAATTCTGTGGAAGGAAAGGTCTGTGCCAATCTGGACAACAGGCAATAAGTTACCAATCTGATAAATGAAAACGTCATTTCCAATCTGGAATTAAATTATCTCTCAGTGGCTGCTGGGCGGGGGCGCGCAGGGACAGCTGTTCCCGGGCCAGGGCCGGCCGCCACCTTCCCCACTGCCGCCAGCTCCAGGCGCTCCGACCCACCAAGCGACGCCGACACGATGCTTGCTGTTTTCCGAAAGGACAAAGAGAACCAACTCACAAGCTCGACCCAAGAAGAAAGACACAGAAGACGTGGGTGGCTGACGACGGGCTACCTACGCAGCACTGGACGAGGCTACTGCACGGCGACACACGAGACCTCCCCGTGAGCGGACCTCAGTCCCCGTCCGCGTCCGAGTCAGCGAACTTGAGCTCACACTTGACGTCAAATGGCCGGTCCCGGACCGGGAGGTCGTCGATCCTCTGCGAGTCCTCCCGGTCGGTGGGCACCCTGCTAGCCATGGTGTCCTGCTCGGTCTCGTAGCCAGTGTCCAGGGCTGGCTTGGGCTGCCCCCCGTTCTGCTGCGAGAAGCTGCCCTGCTCCACCAGCGTCTCCTTCACGCTCGGCTCACAGTCGGAGAAGTCGGCCACGGGCTGCTTCTTGGCGAGCAGCACGGCCGAGCGGAACTTCAGGCACTGGCTGGGCAGGTAGCCCTTGTAGCAGTTGTAGGAGACGAGGCAGAGGCAGAGGACGAAGAAGACGACGAAGAGAAACATGAGGACGCGGTTGTCGCCGGACTTGAGATACATCGTCTTCTCCGTGTGGACCCCGGGGACCACGTCGATGACGATCTTTGGTTCACGGGACGTGCTGGCGGGCGTGGGGCTGGAGGGTGGGGCGACAGCCCTGGGCGTGGTGACCCGCACAGCCGGGGTCTGGGGAGACAAGCCTTGGGTGGGCCCTGCTGACACTCTGGGGGTGACGCCACCACCCTCTGTCCGGGCGGCCGGCAAGGTGGAGGGCACTGGGGTCCGAGGGACCACCCTGACCTCCAGGACGTGCTTGGCCACCACCTGCAAGACAGTCTTGTTTCTGACCCTCTCCTCCGACAGGCACTGGTACACCCCACTGTCTCCTGCCGACAGGTTGAAGATGAACAGATTCTTCCTGCCCCCCAGGCTGTACTTGGGGCTCTCGGCCTTGAGCGCACCGTTCTGGAATTTCCACACCACCCGCGCCAGGTTGGACTTCTGGGAGCACTTGAGTTCGGCTGTGTCGCCGTGCTTGAAAAAATGCTGCTGGTAATGTTCTTTAATTTTATCTGGAACATTAAAATAAATGTGCACAGCATCAACAACCCTGCCTGCTACTTAACTCCTTTTAAAGATAGGTTAATACGCATAAGAGAACACAAGAGTTTCACCCACTGCAGCAATATGGAATCTTCCAGAACAACTAAGGAAATAAAGACATGCGTGACCTAAAAGCAATGAGGAACCCCGGATGGCAGCCCACGGGATAAAGAAATCAGAGGCAACTCTAAGCAGCAGAAATCCCATTGTGCAGCCTGGCTTCCTGGGAGAAAACCCGCCAGGCCGGGGAGGCTGAGCAGTGGCCAGCTGCCCGTTCCAGGAGCGACACTCTGGGGGAGACACCGCACGCTTCTGCCGACAGCGACCCGGCAGGTTAGCCTTTCTGTGCCCTCCTCCTAAACTCATCTTAAGTGATGACAGCTGTCGGGTGAGGGACGGGAGGGCAGCAGCCTAGGGCCTTCCGCGGGGACATGCCTGACCTCCTGGCAGGTGGGGGGTCACCCGAGGGGAACGGGGACTGATCCCGCCCGTTCACAGAGGTTTAGGCTTTGTTTAACGAGCCCCGAGCTAAGCAGAGGAGACAGGCATCTCAAGAGCAGACGTCACAGTTTGGGATGGAGGGTGCTTTCCAGAAAAGAAATACACTCTATGTGGCTTCAAACATCCTTTTCTGCAACAAAAGGGACAGAGAAACATCCCAGGGTCTGCCACGAGATACTTGACCTCTGTGCCGAGTAGAGAAAGAAAAACAAAATGTGCAAAATGCCACAACACTGAAGCATGGTGAAATGATCACAAGACCTGGCCGTGAAGGGAACTGGCGAGACGGAGCAACTCACCGGGGCAGGTGGACGCGTCTCCACTCATCTCCTGAATCAGACCCCTGCAAGACAAGCAGGCACCAATCACACACATGCACTCGCTCTTCACGCGCTCTTTGCTGGGGGGTGGGCGGGGCCCCCCATGCGGCGCGTCCCCCCGGCCGGTACCTCCTGGGGCCATTGGTCTGGTGCAGGGCCACGCAGGCAGAGGCGGCCGGGCTCCAGGCGCAGTAGGGGTCCCGGGTGAGCACGCAGTCCACGCAGGTGCCGTGCTGTCCGCAGAAGGCCAGGGGCGCCTGCACCACGCCCGAGCTGGAGCCAGCATAGACAAACCTCCTGCCCTGTGGGTGTGAGACAGAGGAGGGTGGGCACCGGGTGCCAGGGGCTGCTTCTCCTTTTCTGGGGAGAGAGGATGAAGCATCGTCCCGTGCGTCCTGGAGGAGGAAAAGCCTCCCTTGGTCAGGACTGGAGTGAGGCTGCATCAGACCCACGACAACCTGAATCACAGCATCGTGACAACACAGGCCGTGCGTGGTTTCCAAGCAGAATTGGCATGCTAACTCGGAGTACCTGGGCCTCAGTCTGTCGTCTGCCCTCCCCCGAACCTGCCATTTGGGTGCGCTTCTCTGCGCCACCTTTGGGGGTAGAGCTGTTCAGCCCCCCTCCTCGTGGAGGGAGACCACTAGCCTGACACTCCCAGCAGCCCTCCTGGCCAGAGGCCAAAAGGCACCACCTCTGAACCCAATCCCATGCCTGGCAGACATGAGCAGTGGGGTGCAGACAGCCTGTGTCAGTGTGTGAATCCAGCACGGGCCCCGAGGGAAGCGGGTGGAGAGGGAACAGAACGTTCGTAACAGGAGTCAGAGAGGTAAGGAGCATTCGCTCATCACCTGTCCACACCTACAAGGGATGAAGACGCAGACGGGAACCCGAGCCACACTCAGAAGCAGAGAGCAAAGCAGGCTCCTGGAGCTCTGGCACACCGGGCTCGGGCGTCTCCACCCTCGGCTAGTTCTGTCGGCAGAGAGCCCGGCGCACGGCAGTCGGGGCTGGACGACTGCTTTACTAACTGAGTGGGATGGGGTCTCCCCACAGACGTCCCCCCGGTGCACACGGCAGACGCCAGGCCTTCAAGCAATTCAGGCACTTGGCGCTCACTTTCTCTGCCCAGAAGCCCCCATCTCACCTCAACATCCTAGAAAGACCTCTCTGCTAACACCCAGAGATTCCCAAGTTTACACAGGACTTAGTATTCTAGACTCAGAGGACACACGGCCTTCATCCTCAGAGGACACGTCCTGGATTAACCTCAGAGTCTGGCTGGAGCTCAGTCCCCGGTGTCCCCACAGATCTCCAGGCCTGTGATCCACTGAAGGCCACAGGTCACAGACCCACCATGTGCGAGCACAGCCAAGAGAAAGGGAAGTCCCCCTCCGTGGCGGATTCAAACTGGGACAGCAAGTGGCAAAGAGAACCAGGGCCGGCCCGTCCACGTCGGTGGAGACCTGAGCAGATGAGGCCACGCGCCCGCCACATTCATAAGAAGGAAGAGGATGCCGTCCCAGGTCACAGTCGGGGACCACGTGGCTCCCAGAGGTGAGGGAAACTGCCCTGGGGCGAAAGGCCAAGTGGGCCACTTCAAAGGGCCAGCGGGGCCACAGAAGAACCCTGGCAAGGGCGGGGACACTCACGCAGAGCAGACCAGGATTCAGACACTGCCCAGAGAGCCCCGCCCGACACCTCGCCAGGGAGGGCGGCGTGGGTGCAGGCCCAGCGGGCTCCCTCGTCCCCGCCCCTCAGGCCGCGCAGCCCCCGGCTCTCACTCCTCACAGGGCTGGGCTGAGCGCATGAGAAGCAGAAGTGACCGCGCCTCATTGATTCTCATTAACGAACGTGGCGGGGACGGGGACAGAACAGCACACTGAGACAGGGCACGGGCCCGCGGATGTGCACGTCAGTGGGGGAGCGGGCCCCGGGTGACTGCGCCTGAGGGCTCCCCACAGACAAGCATCAGCCGCTGTGGGGTCTGAACACATGCCCCAAACCCCTCAACACTTCTCCCTCCAGGAGTGGGCTTAACCCCCTGCCCCCCCGGGGGCCGGACCACTGACCCCAGGGTGTGGGGACCATGTGCAGAAAGAAGGCAAATGACTCGGAGAGTCACGTAGATCCACGTCAGTGAGACGGGCCCTCCAAGGTCGTCTCCCCAGAGCCCTCAGCCCCAGTCGGTGTACGAGAAAACTCCAGACACGCCCAAACCGAGGGGATTCCACAAACCCCCAACTAGTCCTCTGCAAAGTGTCATGGCCACCAAGGCAAGGACAGACGGGGCCCTCCAGACCACAGCGGACGGAGGAGACTAGACCCTCGTGGGGCCCTGGAGCCAAAAAGGACATCGTGGGACATGGGGCATCCAACCTCGGAGGCTGCTGAGGGCACTGGGCCCACGGAGCCCCTCAGCATAGACAGGCGCCGGGCGCAGGGCCCGCGGGACTCCCTGCACCACCATCCCGTGTCTCCCGGAAATCTGACATGATTTCAGATAAAATGTTTTAAAGAGGCAAAGAAAAAACCACCTAACCAGGGGGCCACCCAGCATTCCCGAGGTTTGCTGAGAGGCATGTGCCCAGGCCCTCACCAGTCTCCACCACTCTCGGGATTGTGCCCTCGCACACCCTGTTACGTCTTGGTCTCTGTCCAACTCGGGCCGTGTCCAGCCCGTGGTGGGTGACTGGCGGATGTGGCCAGAGTTGAAGGAGCTGCTGAAGTGACTGTTTGCTATCCTGTGCCAGGCAGGCTGGTCTCACCATCAAAGAGTGTCCCCGTGAAAACCACACACAGCCTGCACCGTGGGCTCAAAGAGGACCACACAAAGCACATCTGCCATGTACTCCCCAAGAACTGAGAGCAGGACTTGAAGAGACATTTGCACACCCATGTTCCCAGCAGCACTATTCACAACAGCCTAGTGGAAGAAGCAACCCAAGTGACCATTGATAGGTGAATGGGCAAACAAAATGCACTATAGACGTGCAATGGAATATTATTTAGCCCTGAAAAGGAAGAAAATCTGACACATGATACAACATGGATGAACCTTGAGGTCATCATGCTAAATGAAATAAGCCAGTCGCAAAAGAACCGCGACTCTGTGATTGCTCTTATATGAGGTCCCTAGAGTAGTCAAAGTCATAGAGATAGAAAGTAGAATGGTGGGTACCAAGGGCTAGGGGAAGGGGATGGAGAGTTAGTGTTTAGTGAGGACAGAATTTCAGTTTGGGAAGATGAGAAAGTTCTGGAGCTGGAAAGTGGTGATGGTTGCACAACAATTTGAATGTACTTAATGCCACAGAGCTGTACACTTAAAAACGATTAAAATGGTAAATTTTACGTGGTGTGTATTTACCACAATCTGGTGGTCTAGCGGTTAACATCTGGTGCTCTCACTGTCGAGGCCCGGGTTCATTTCTGGGTCAGGGAACCACACCACCCCTCTGTCAGCTGTCACACTGTGATGCTGAAAGCTGCACCACTGGGATTTCAAACACCGGCAGAGTCACCCACGGTGCACAGGTTTCAGCAGAGCTTCCAGACTAAGACAGACTAGGAAGAAGGACCTGCCCACTCACTTCCGGAAAAACTGGCCGTGAAAACCCCGTGAACAGCAGTGGAGCACTGTCTGATACAGCGCCGGAAGGGGAGAGGATGGCGCCGAAAGACCAGCAGGGTCCGCTCTGCTGTCCACGTGCTATCCACCACGCAGCACTCCTAGGGAGGCTAGGAGTCAGAATCGACTTGGCAGCACTGACGACAAATTCACAATAAAAAAGCAAACCAACTGTCCTTGTCATCAGGGGAGAGGAGGCAGTGTTGAGGGATGGCACACTCTCAGGCTGTAGGGATGGGGCAGCTGTGTGCTGGCCCCTTCTCTGCTCCCACGGCCCTGCGGGGGCCGCTCGCCAGCCTTCTACAACGAGGGCCACAGAAGACCTTGTTGGTGGGGAGCATGGAGGGGCAGCACGGCGGCGTTCCCGACCCACCTTGAGCCCAGCCCCATGGCGTGCCCGCTCCAGACAACAGAGCGGCGCCCCAGAACAGTGGGGGCTTCTGTGGGGACAAAGCGCCCCCCTCGGCACCAGGCTCCCTGCATGGCCAGCCCCCGGACGTGGCGGTGTGACCAAGTCCTGGCCGCAGACAGGTGAGCACAGGACTGACTGGTAACCACCTCCCGCAGGCGATCCTGCCCCCTCCCTCCCGCCTACGGGGGTAATGCCCACATGCCCTGGAAGCCCTGGGCTCAAGAGGGCGGGCCAGCCTGGGCCCCTGAACGACGCCGTGTGGCAGAGCAGAGCCATGTTCTCACCGCGTGTCCGCACCGGGGCCCGACCTCTGTTTGGACGAGTACTGGACGAGGCCTCGGGCGTGCCTGCCCCAGCCCGGCTGAAGCACCGACCCACGTGGCGGCGGGCCGGGGGCCTCTGGGTGTCCTTCTCTCAACAGCAACGCTGGGTGGCCCCGGGGGCGGTGAAAAGCACCCACCCCTCAATCTCCGCCCCTTTATGTCCTGGAGATGAGTGCACCAAGGCCTCGCCCGGGCTACTTTCTCTTCCTTCCTTTCCAGAACTGGAGGGGAAAACGCTCAGTGCAGTAGCTGAGAGGGCAGCTACCCGCGTAACACGACTGTGAAAACCGGATCTCACTCCTTCAGCTTAGGACGAAGGGGGAGGACGGAAGCCCCACGGGTGACATCTGCAAACGCCCGCCTGACCGAGAGGCCGGCTCCTTCCCGCCTGGCTCTGGGGCACAGCAACGTCCAACAGGGGCATTCCTGCTGCCCACTGCCCGGGCCGAGGGAGGAGGAGGCCTGCCTGGGCCCCACAAGCTGGGTGGAGGCCCCAGCAGGACCAGCACAGGGAGGAGGCTCTGAGCAGCCGTGGGGACAACGTCCTTCCAGCGTGAACCTGAAGAGGAGGCTCACGAGTGTCGTGAGTCAAACCGGAAATTCCAAGCAACAGAGTGACGCCTCACAGAGCAGGTGACAGCCAGGCCTAGGGCCCCCGATCAGGGCCTTACAAATGGGGTGCAGGTGGGAGAGGCCGAGCGATGGGCGGGCCTGCGGGTGGGGGGACCGTGACACACAGCCACACTCTGATTTCTGGCGCTGCCCCCAGCACAGCCAACACCCCAGTGCCTGTGAGCTCAGGGGTCACAGTGTGGGGCACGCACAAGGCCCCGCCGGGGGATCCCACAGGGAGAAGTGAGGGCCTTGCCAGTCACAGGGCTGGGCCGGGACCCTCCCAGGGTCCATGCCCCACTGTACAGCTGGGGAAACTGAGGCACGACTGGCCTGGCCAGTCACGTGCCATGGAGCCAGGATTTGGACCAGGCGGCCCCGTGTCCAGCCCGCGCTCTGCTCTTGGCTGCTCCACCTCCGCTGTCAATCAGGTGGCACATTTCCCAAGACTACCGTGGACGTACGGCAGGGGATGGCCTGCAGCCCGCGGGCCAACTCCAGCCCCCTGGTGTGTCTACACAGCCCAACTGATGATGCGATTCACATTTTTTAACGTTTGAACAAAAGCCAAAAGAATAATATTTTGTGACATGTGAAAATTACATGAACAGCAAAGCTCAATGTCCATAAACAAGACTTTGCTGAGACACAGCCAGGCTCACTGGTTCCCGGACCGTCCACGGCCACGCTCACACTGCGAAGGCAGAAACCCACCGGACGGCCCTCAGAGCCTCAGGGCCACACTCGGGGCCCTTTATGGGGGACGTCTGCCGACGCGGGGGCAGGAGGAAGCACCCCTCAGAGGGGAGGGAGCGTCACAGACACGATGATGCATCGTTACTCGGAGGAGGCGTGAGCTGCACCGACAGCACAGAACTACTGACGGGCCTCAGCCTCGCCGGGTTCAGGGCACGAGGAGTGCTTCCGCAGGCCCCGGTGCACCCCACGGCCTCGTATGTTGGCCCTGACAACTCAGGGAGGTTGTGCGACCTTTCAGAGACAGTTACGTCTCCCCAGTTGCCGTCCCTCCCGCAAACCCCGTGGCTCACAGACGGCCTTCTGTGAGAGCCCCAAGGTCGCTCGGCTGGGTCAGACAGATGAAGCGCCTGCCTGGCTCACACCTGGCCCAGCCCTGGGGTCCCTGAGACGCAGGCCACCCGCCCGGGGCACTCTACCTTCTTGGATGACAGCAGCAGAGCCTGGACCGGCTTGAAGTCAGGGAAGAGCTGCGTCTCCTCGATGATGTGGACGCCGCTCCTGAGGCTGACGGCTTTGTGCAAGGCGCCCCTGTCTGCAAGATCAGAGCAGAGGTCAGCGACGCGCCCGCAGGAGGGGACGGCGTGGACTGTCAGCCACGGCGGCAAGCAGCCATTCTCCCTCCTCTCAACTCGTGCCCTCGACAAGAGACTTAGACGACGTTTGTGCATCAGAAATGAAAAAGGAGGGCCTGCCCGGTGGCACAAGCGGTTAAGTGCACGTGCTCAGCTGCGGCGACCCGGGGTTCGCCAGTTCGGATCCTGGGCGCACACCGATGCAGCGCTTGTCAAGCCATGCTGTGGCGGCATCCCATATAAAGTGGAGGAAGATGGGCACGGATGTTAGCCCAGGGCCAGTCTTTCTCAGCAAAAAGAGGAGGATTGGCAGATGTTAGCTCAGGGCCGATCTTCCTCACAAAAAAGAAAAAAAGAAAAATGAAAAAGGAAAAGCCACTGGGAAAACAAAAAATCAGAAACAAGAGGCATGGGGTATTCACATTTTTTTATGAAAAATGCCCTAACGTTCCATCATGGACTCTAAGTAAGACCCTTCCTCAGCGCAGGAGACATGGAGGCATGAGATCAAATGAGAGGGGGTTCCTGGGTTCCGCTGGCCCTCTGGGGGTGCCGTCCCGCAAAGGGCCCCAGGCAGGTGAGGGCAGGGCCCTCCACCTTGCTCAGAGGCACGGCTGGAAAGCTCCTGGGGCCGACCTCAGCGCCCGGCCGGCTGCTGATGCGCCTGGCCACCGTCCCCACTCCAGAAGCGCCTATGTCCGAGCACACAGCTACCAGGAAAGGCGAGCCTACCTTGGCGGGTCAGGACAGGCCTGGACCCTGGCTGCTCACGCAGGCAGGCGGATGTGCCGTCTGCGGCTCTCACCGGCCCACAGGGCACCACGCGGGCTCCCTCTGCACCAGCCCAGACCCGCCAGACCTGAATTTCCAGATCTGGGCCAGGACCTGCATTCTAACCAGTGCCCCAGTGCGCTGATGGTCACAGAGATCTGAAGCCGCCCAGGTATGGGGACTTCTCAGAGAGACTTCCACACTCGGACAAACCGCGGGGGCACAGGGGAGACGCTGGCTCTACACAGCAAAGATGAGCACATTTCCCGGCGTTCCTACCCACCTGTGCCGACAAACATGACATCGTACGTGGCCCCGTCCAGGGCCTGGGTCCTGTCCACCACGATCTGCGTGTAGTTCACGCCGCTTTGGACCAGCTTGGGCCTGTTGTCTGTGGGGGTCACGGGGTCGTCCATCAGGGGGTGGTCCTTGGCGAACTGCAGGGTCTTGTCGGGCAGACTGAGGGAACTGGTGAAGTTGGCCGCCCTGGCTTCATGGTTGATGCACTGAGAGAGCAGACCCACCCGTTAACGCGCACGCACCCACGCGGACAGCGCACGCACTCCACACGGGTGTCAGGGCCTCTGTGAGGTGCGAAACTTGGGGACCAATAGTGGATTTCTCGAAAAAGAGGAAAAGCCAAGGCGACCCTCCCCAAGAATCTGAAGACAGTCATAAAGCATGTAAGAAGTGCAACTGTTTTTTTATCCACAAGACATAATTGTGTCTCATGACCACAGTCAGTGAAATAATCTATTTGTAAGTGAAAAAGAGTACCAAGCTTTTGAAGTTAAAAAATAAACACTTACATTCGAAAGCTCTGCCAGGAGAAGACTGGTAAAATCGCTAACAGTCCAGTTCTAAACAGCATAAAGGGCAGGGGCCTGAAGGATTCTTTTCCCTTCCTAGCTCCTGCCGTGTGTAACCCAAAATCCGTGACACCAAGTGAACATGTTTTACTTAATAACATGCACAGAAGGAATGATGACCAGTGTCAGCAGAGGAGTGTAGCCCAGGGAGGGGAGACAGGCCTGGGGTGAGCTCCGGGCACCAGCCCACTCTCCTGGGTCACAGCTCCACCCGTCGGCCACAGACACGGCCCGACATACCAGCCACACAATGAATGGACGCAGCCAAATCGCCCTAGAAACCACACTAACTTCTACATACAAGTCACTATCTTTAGGAGAAAAAAATGTGACTCCTATTAATGAGTGGAGAGTATAACTCCTCTCTTTACCAAGAAATCATTTCTCCGCAGGAAACAGAAAATGAAACAGACTTTACTCCATTATGCAATGTTAATTCTACAAAACCCCCGTGCCAGCCAGACCACCCTTCTTGTCGGGGAAGAATGTCGCAACAGCCGTTACACAACACGCCAGTGAGAACACAGGACAAGGAGTGTGCCCATTGCCCTCCCCAGCCCCGGGGGATTCCCGTCCCCCAAGGAGACAGCCCCAGCCCCGGCGTGGCACAGCAGGCTTGGCGTGGCTGTCACCAAACCTGCCGCGTTTTGCGCTCTGGTCCCCGCACAGCCCGGGCCCCACTCACCGCCCCGGGCCTCGGTGTGGGCACGGCCCCGTTGTAGCGCACCCACTTGGTGTGGGACTGTTCCACTGTGGCGCTCTGCATGTACTTCCCGTGGGAGAAGACCGCCTCGGCCGTGGACAGGTTGTAGGCGCACACGGCCGACAGCCCCACGTTGTTCCTGGGGAGGAGGGGGCGACGTGATTGCCCTGGAGGGCGGCCGTGGGGAAGAAACGTGGCCTGCCACCTGCCGCCCGCCCGGCACTCACAGCTGCGGGGTGAAGACCCCGTAGAACACAGGCTCCTTCAGGCCCGGGGCCCTGAGGACGAAGACGTCCTGCAGCACGTTGAAGACGAGGTTGCTGTCTGGCTGGGAGCAGATCAGCCCGGCCTTCAGGAAGGACGTCCACTTCTTTTGCAAGGTCCTCAGGCCGCCCTGGTCCCCCTGAAACACCAAAGACGTGCGCGGTAGGAGGAGGGCAGAGCACCCCGTGAGCAGGCGGTAAACAAGGGCCTAGGCCCAGAACGGCCCGGCCCGAACAGAACGAGGCCCAGGCTCAAGAGGCCGCAGCTGCAGACCAGCCGTGGCCGCAGCACCCTTCCACAGCCTGGACCACCAACCACACCAAAACACCCTCTCGACGAAGCCGGCCAACTGCGGCCAGAACAGCTGCGGGATTCTGCGCACACTCATCTCACGGCCACAGACAGGCCCCTCGCACGCTTGCACACTTCGGCCCTCTGGCCGAGCGCATCTCTGAAGTCAGTCCGTGAAGGACCTGGGAGGCAGGGGCCGGAGGCCTCGGCTCCTCATCTGTCCCAGGCGATGCATGTAGGTCTGGTCTCCCCCAGGACGCTCCTCGTGGGAGATCAGGTCTCCCTTCCTGCCCCGAGTCATCTGCTCAAGTGCTCAGGACCTGCCAGCTTCTCCATAAACGCCTCTTAGTGAGATCACCACCAGGAGACAACAGTAACACACACCCCACATGACTTGGTCTGGAGAGAAATATTGAAACTCGGACGTCTGGATGCAGAGGAATATAAAATGGAAGCGTCCTTATTTATTTTGGACACAATGAAAATGCCCCCCGCCCCATTTTTACGTTGGAATGATGAAATCCCAATTCCAACAGAATTTGGTTAACACAGTCAACAAAAATTAACTTTCTATACCCGGGGGAGGTTGGAGGAAAGTGTGTCTAAAGACAACCATCCATCACACACCGGCGCCAACGCTCCCTGCCTCCAGGGAGCCCTCCAGGCCACCCGAGGAGGAGCAGGGCCACACGCCCACGGCCCCATCCACACTGACGGATGCGACAGAAAGAATAAAGCGGTAGGTGAATTGACGTTGCAGAGACTCGTGGAGCCTGGGTGAAGTGACTGACCCTCCGGACGTGCTGTCGCCACAGCCGGGACCAAGAGAAACTGGGGGCACGCCTCACCTTGCACACCCTCGCCACCCGGGGGATCATCAACTTGAGGACAAACTCGTACTCCACAGACACCTCCGTGAAGAAGAAGTAGACCCTGTCGTCCCCGGCGTCGGCGCCATCTGGGCTCTCTCGGATCACGTCAGAGAAGACGAAGCTGGGCTCTGCGGGGAGGAGATCCTGGTTACCCCCGCACGAGGAGAGGGGCCCGGGCACCTCCCTGTAAGGACCAGGGAGGGTGTGCATGCCACGCCCCAGCTCCAGGCTCCAGGAGGGATGACAGTGCCCATCTCGCCTCCTTGGCCTAAGGAGGTGCCCGAGATGGTGGTTCTGAAGCACACCTGCCTGGTCCACCCTGAGTACTGGCGGGCAGCCTGCGGGCCCCAGAGAGACAGATCCCACCAGACCCGGAGAGCCCCTGGAAGATATGCATTTGCACTCTCCCAGATCACCTGCCTCCTAGAGTCCAGGGCCCAGTGACCAGCACCCACAAGAAGAGCCCCTCATGAGCAGCCACGAGCCACCTGCACCACGAGTCCAACGTGGACACGTTGTCCGGAGGTGACGGTACAACATCACACACCCATCTGACCCGCCTGAGTTCACCGCTGACCATCACATTCTCACTGCACGAAATCCTCCCGGATCCGTTTTCAGGGAGGGGTAAAGGCAGCCTTAACACAGCACTCTCTCACCATCCTGGACGCTGGCGGGGGCGCCCAGGGCACTTCCAGAGCCGCCCCCACGGCACCGGGGCTGACAGGAGCCGCAGACGACCCCACGTGAGGCTCAGATGGAGCCAGCAAGAGGAGAGATACAAGGGGGCTCTACCGGCTGGGAGGTGACTCCGAGGAGAAACCCGCCCTGGATGACCCGTCTACTTCTTACCGTTAAGCCAAGGGATGGCATACTCTGTTCTCAGAGGGCTGTGAGAGGAACTTCGGGAGATGATCGGCTCACTCCCCAGGAAGTTGTAGGACGTCCCAGAATAGAGCTCTCCATCTTCAGCGGCCCGGGGGGACCGAGGAAAAGGGAATCAGCGCCCATGCTGGGGACAGACGCCCACCCCCACACTTCCCTTACAACCTAACATGCGCCCCTCCCGCAAGTGGAAGACCACCGCCCTGCTCCTGGGTGCAGCCTGCTTCCTGAGTCTTCCGTGTCGCTTCTCTGACACGGATATTTTAGGCTCCACGGTCAGCCGTATTTATGAGAGTTAGGGGCAATAACTAACGCACACAGGCAATTCCCACATCTGGGAAAATAAGAAACGTGACAGTGGGCGCACACGGGGCACAGGGCCGATCGCCTCGGTGCGAGAGACCATTCCAGGGCAGCCTGCGGCTCGGGCACAAACTCCCCCAAACAGGAGCATCGACTCCACGTGACAGAATAACCTAGATGATTTGCACCAATGACGGATATAAAATAATCGCTTCCCACAAATCCACCTGTGGACTGTGACGGTGGCTGGTCATCCTGTGAACAACGCACTCAACAGCTCCTACCAGAGGAGCTCTGGACAGGCCGCACACCTGGTGTGAGGACAGTGAACGTGGGAATGGAGCAGGAGACCATGGGAGGGACGAGGGACCGGGCGTCCTGCATTGAGGACAGCCTGACAGCAGAGCTACGCCAGTGGAGGAGGCCTGAGGCCTGGACTCACCGACCATGACGGACGTGTAGCTTTGTGCCGGGTCAAAGGGACATCTTCCTTTGCCATCTTCATTCTTCCCCAGAAATGTAAAGGATGTTAAGTTCTACAATTGAATGAAAAGAAAGAGTATCATCAGATGTCTGATTTTCGGTAGTAATAATGCATCTCTGCCGTACTGTTTAATCTTACAGACTCGCTGTTCCAGGGGGACGGAGGGAAGAGCGCCCGTGCGAACAGCCCCGCGAGTCCCAGGTCTGGACGTGGGCACCTCGGAGAGTACCCCTGCTCTGACACCCTTGAGGGCTACTCAAGACCCTGAGCCTCAGTCTGCTCATCCGTGAGATGGAGACGGCAGGTCAGGATCCCACCCTTATGACCTCATGTAACTTAACTGCCTCCTCACAGGCCCCATCTCCAAATACCGTCACTTGGGTGGGGATGAGGGCCTCAACATATGGATTTGGGGGGACACCAACATTCAGCCCACAACATACGTGAACCAAGAACACACAAGTCAGCAGAAGTCCTGACTTTCCCACCTGGCAGGACCCGTGTCCCCGCCAGGCTGCCCTCCCGCGTGACGAGGAGAGGGCAGATGCTGGATCATGGCATACCAAGTGCTTGTGTCTGTCAACAACGCACTTCCGAAGGGGCCCCCGCTGCCAGCTCAGCATCGCAGCCACACCCTCGGTCATAGCGGCTTACAGACCGGACACCAGGGCTCCAAGGAGCCACGAGCTGCCCCATGCCCACACAGCTGGCAGTCAGAAAATCCTACGTTTTGCAGAGTGGAGACCACTGGACGCTGCCTGGAGCCCCACTCTGCTCTAACCACCGACCAGGGAGGTGCCGTGGCCTTACCAGGTGGTCACAGGTCGGCTGGAACGCGTTGGTCCCGCACACATAAAGGGTGGTGGCGCTGAGTGGCTGCAGCACCCGGATGTAGTTGAGGCATTCTGTCTACAAGGAGAGAAACGCACGGATCAGCACCATCCAGCTCCCGACGGATGCCCTCCGTGCTGCAAACTGTCCACGCCGCTCACTCAGAGCAGAGACCAGCAGAGCACACGCGACCAGGTCGTCACAGCTCAGGACCCCAGCCCCCGGCTACATTCACTGCCCACTGCCCATCTCCGGGCTCTGGGGCTCCATCTCCACACCCTGGCTCTGCCCTGCCAGGGACAGCGGGAGTAGGCTCGCTGAGACCCAGCTCCGCCTGGACAAACCCCAGTCTGCAGCCAGCCTGAGTGCTTTCGTCTCTGCAGTGTCCTCAGGCCAGCGGTCACATGCCAAACGATGTCATTTCAGTCGCTCGTTTATACTCAGCAAAGACGTGCTGGCCAAGACAGCAATGACAGCTGACCTCAAATCCTACTGGACCACAGAAAAGACGTCTTCACTCTCACTAACGCACACCGCTCACTGTGCTGCCAGACCGCGGAGGCACACGCTGAGCAGAAGCCCTCTGCCTCCCTCTTCTCTGGGCGCCCCCTCCACGCCCCAACGCACAGACCTGGAAACAGCGCTTCTCAGGAGTGGGGTTTCTGACCGGCCCCGCCTGCGGGAGAGGCTGACTAATGAGGGGCTCCGGCCTGGCTCTGCGTCAGAAAGGCCCCACAGGAAAACCAGACGCCACGTACGAACCCCATCACTATTTCAGACTGAAATGTACTTGGATCATATGTGCTATCATCTGAAATTATCTCCGCGCAGGAGAGGTTTTTTTGCTGTGACTGTTTTTAAACTGGCTGGAAGTCATGCACCTCCCCACCCCACCGCAAGCAGTGAGAGGGCCCCCTGTTCGCTGTGCGGGCTCCATGCGGGCCGGGTGAGTGCGCGGTCTGATTTAGCTCTGAGACAGCTCCCTGTGACACCTGCGGTTACATCGCAGCGCCTGCACTTTCTCTCACATCCTAAAGTAACTTCAGACTCAGTGACTTTAGCCAAAGTGTTCAGCATTTTGCTAAACAAGTTTAGCAAAAATTTCCTTGTTTTTTAAAAAAATTTGTAATTGTTTTGAAATTAGCCAACAACTGCTGAAATTTATCATAACTCAGCTGTCTTGACCAACCAACAGGGAGGACGGGGCTTTGATGCTCGGACTCCGACATCGGCCCAGACAGAACCCACTAGGGGCCGGGCAGCCCTCATGGTGGGGGTGACCCAGCGCTCCAAAGGGAGTGGACACTCGACCCAGTGCCCCCCCGACGGCCACCACGCTGAGGTGACCAATATCTCCTAGAGAAGGTGCAGGTTCTCAAAGGATGGGTGTTCCCAAAAATCCAGAAATCCTATAGCAACGCCTCCAGGCCGCTGGGTGCGGGGGAGACAGGAACCCAGCATTCTACACCCTTAGCCAGCAGGCACGGGAAACTGTTCTCTGTAGTCAAGTTATAGACCATTTGAATAAATTCAGCTAAACTTGAAGAAGCATTTCTCGAATGCCTGCTCTGTCTGGAACTTGCTTTGAGACCCAGTGTCACCGTTTGGGAACAGACGGACCTGGAGAGGAGTTGTGGTAACGGAACCAAGCCCTCGAGCACCCGGGGACCTGGCCCAGCGCCCGGCACGTTTCAGGAGTGCTGACGCGGCTCCCATCATGATATTACGACAACCTGGAAACAAATACCGTGTGGTTCATAGTCAGCAAAAGAAATTACCTGTTTTGACTTCCCCTTTTCGGCGCATTTTGCTTTTTTATCTTCAGAGACCTTCCAGTACGCCTGTTGGGAGGAATGAAGTCCATGTCAGCGCGAGGAGAGCCTGGCACAGAAAACGTACAGCTCACAAAGCACGTGTGGCGTTTGGGGCACCGATACTTCCCGAGACGGTAAAATCTGAGACTGCAGAGTGGGGCTTAGAGAGCAGACGCTGAGGCCCCTGAGCCATTGGGGCTTCGTGAAACTGTCTCCTCCTCCTGAAGCCAGCGGGGCCAGGAAGCCACCAGGTGCTGGCACTCGCCGCACAACGGCAGCAAAACTGCACCACTACCGTGTGAGGATTACATTACTTATCAGAAAGCTAAACTGTAGGTGTTTCCAAACATCAAACTGGGATTTTTCGTTCATTGAAGAGGGATTCTAGAGTCCAGTAAAAAAAACAAAAGCCTTGACAGTTACTCTGACTGCCAGTGGGACCGCGGGAGGGAGACTCTTGGAGTGTCCTGCGCCCGCAGCAGCTGAACGTGATGGAGCAGCGCGGCACCCTCAGGGCCAGCGCCGACCCGCTGAGTGCAATCAGAACCCGTCAGGCCCGCATCACTGCAAGCCCCACGTCCCCTCCCCCAAAGATGCCCCATCTCCCCGTGTGATATTCTGTGATTGATGCAAATATACACACACACACACACACACACACACACAAAAATGACTTTTTCCACCCAGAGAATCAAAGCCAGGTGCCAGGTGCTCAGAGGTCAGGGGGCACAAGGGGCTTTCCCAGCGGCAGGGGGTGGGGCCCCGAGCAGCGTGCCCCCCGACACTAGCTCGGCTTCCTGGAGAGGCCGGAACAGCAGACACAGGGACGATGCGGAGTGTTTTCAGAGGACTGCAAGTCCTAATCAGGGCACACAAATGCGGAACAAAGTCCTATTTCAAAGAGCAGCTCCCTTCAGAAATTAAGCACAGACCATGTCGTCACCATCCACGCGAAACGCGTGGGGACACGGAACATGAACCCCCACGGGCCCTCGACCACGGTCACGGGGTTCTCGATGAAGCTTGGCCATGGTCCTTTCACTTTTTCTTCTCCTCTGTGCATAGGAGGCCGGGAGCCTCTCCCTCACCCCGAGGGGCCGCAGCGATGCCATTAACAAAGCAATGACTGCTCTGACCAGGCACCCACGGGGCCGGCACTGCACTTTATTTTCAAAGGGTCACGACTGGACTCTCACTTATGTGTCAAACAGAAATTAAGTACTGTGCTAGACTCTGGAAAGTAAGACAAAGCAAATCAAACAAATAAGAGGCCTGGGGCAGAAAACGCACAAGACAAGCCTGGACCCTCTTGATCCCAGAGAGCAAGGACCTACGCCAACCACCAGGGTCGCGGCTAAGGACTCAGGAGCCACGAGAGGCTGCCACGCACCAGGGAGGGAAAACCTGAGCGTCAAGGAAGGAGCTGGCTGGAATGATCGAGGCACTGCAAACACGGTTAAATCTGTGAGTCCACGGTCATACTGAACATCAGACAGTCAAAAACTCACGGTCTCCCTTTATACAGAATGCGCATTGTTTTGAAAGCTGGTTAAATAAAAGCAGAGACCTCAAGCACTGATCCTGCCATTTCCAAAGGAACTGGCCTCGGGGGACGAGAATGTCCCCTTTACAGACGATTGCCGGCTCCCAAGTGGAGAAGGGAAGGTAGAGCCCGCCCCCATGTGCCATCCCCACCTCGCACGGGGCTCCAGGCTGCGAGGGTCATGGGCCAAGAGGAGGAAGGCCGCCTGGGGGAGGCTCCTGCCTCTCATGGAGGACACAGGGGGCTGGACGGGGGCTGGGGACCAATGGAACTGCCGAGTGGCTTCCCAGCGAGTGGACCCAGGGCGGCTCCTAGAAATGGAGACCCACCGGCGGACAGAGTGCCCGGCCACACGACAGTCTGATTTCAACGTGATTCAAACTGAACAGTCAGGCATCATTTACCAGAGAGCCCGTGAAATCTGAACACTGACTATTCCACATTAATTTTTGGATGTGATAATGGTATTTTCGTTATTTTGAAAAAAAGGTGTCCTCTCCTTTAGGAGATGCCCAGGAAAACATTTACAGATGAAGAACTTGTGTCTGGGATTTGCCTCACAGCCTCCCGGAGGGAGCAGAGGACGAGGACGTGGGAAGGAGGATGGGGTGGAACCCCTGGCCTGCAGGAGCCCCCCGGTACAGGGCTCTCACATGACCCCCTCTGCCCCCGTGTACGCTTAAGATCTTCTGTAATAAGAAGTTCAAACTCCAAGATGAATAGACTGTGGTCCCTGGTTGAGCTGCCAGCCCAGGGAGGACACAGGCTGCCAGCGGACACCCTGAGACGGGGCCGCATGGACGCAGGGCAGGAAGGAAGCTTCGGATGACAGGGCCCTCGGCCCATGGGTAGGCGGGAGGCTGCTCGCTAGAGGCACAGGACCAGACACACAGGATGTCTGCAGGGTGGCCCTGGGGGTGAGCCGGCCGCACGGTACGGCCAGGAACGGGCCTGACGCCCAGGCGGAGGCCAGTGTGCAGATTCAAGAACACACCAGGAAGGTCTGCGGCCAGGCAGCAGGGGATCAGGAGCCCGCACCATACCTCGTGCTGCTTCTCGGAGATGTTGAGTGCGTTCACGGCAAACACGGCTTCCCGGGCGCCCACGTACAAAGTGTCCTTGTCCTCGCTCAGCAGCAAGGCGGAGTAGTTGAAGATGCCCGGCTGGTGGAAGTACACCAGCTGCACCTCTGGGGGAGAGAGGCAGGGGCGGGGGACACACGTTAGGCACTGCTGAGCCCGGACACGTCCGCAGTGTCTGGTCTCCCTCTAGCGCACCGTCCCGTCCCGAGGGCCGTGCACGGACTCGCTGCCACGGGGGCCAGCCCCCTGCCAGGCCAGACTTCAGGCACCTCTGGGTGGAGCAGACCCACCAAGGCAGCCACCAAGCGCGTGGGACCCCCGTGGGGCCCCAGAGCCCCTGTGCTCCACCAGTGCTGTGGCCTGACTTCCCTTCCTGCCCCCTCCAGCCCAGCTGACTTCCCAACCCTGCACTCAGGGTGGCCTCCTGGCAGCGCGACCTCCTGGCAGTCTGACCTCGTGACCTCCCATGAGACTGCAGACCAGACGCCTCGAGCTGCTGACCGCTACATCTCCCTCGGCCTCCCATCAAACTCTTGTCTGTGTGTTTAATCATCCACAAATTAGGAGTATTTAGGATTTTCTCATTTAGGAAAAAAATGACTTACTTCAAAACCTTTGAAAAAACCTATTTCACTGACCCAAGCATTTTTCAGGGATAACCACCATAAACTTACAAAACAGAGAAACATGTGACATTTGATCACTCATTAGTTAATTGCATCAATAGCTATTTAGGAATAGGAGGAATCAGACGATTAGCTTGTAGGAGTATTGGCATTATTTCTTAAGGAGCTGTTTCCTCTTTCTGACCAGCCCAGCATCAATTTGAGTGTTTCGAACTTGGCTCTTTCCATGTATCACCAAGCTCTGGTTTTGTCCAAGGATGAGGTGTCCACACTTTCTACTCTAATCTTCCAATGTTAGAGAGATGCACGCGGGATGAAGGCTCTCCCGGCACATCTGGCGAGACGGCTCAGCCCTGCCAGCGCCCCTCCATCAGGACCGAGGACTTGAGCTCTCCATCCACGGAGACTGAAGGACCAGGGGTCCCAAGACACAGCTCCCAAGAGAGGAATAAATAAAACAAACTTATGAACAGCAAGTGAAACAACTGGCCTGAAGCTCAGCTTCACAACAGTAATGTCCTCAAAATACACCCCTCAGTGTGGTTCATGCCTGGGCGGCGAGCACCAAACGTCGCCAGGCACAAGGGAGACAAGATTCCCTTCAGAGGTCCCCCGGTTTAGAAACCAAACCAGTGGACCCTGCGAGGGTTTCTGGCACCGCGGCCTCTCCCCGGCAGCAGTGCAGGCCTTCGCTCACACACGGGGGCTGGGAGCACGGCCCCAGCAGAGCAAACGACACCCGTGCATGTGAGCATCATGAGGGGGTGGCGCCCCCCTCATGCCCTCAGGCTTGACCCGGTGCACCCTCACCTTTGTGCTCCCAGGTGATCCTAGGCATGGGTGCAAAAGCCACCGCCGTCCCAAACACCACGGCGAGGGCGGTGAGCAGCCCCCCGAAGTGGGGGCACATCCTCATCGGCAGGGGCTGCAGCGGGGGCTTCGGCAGTAAGTGCCTGTGGGCAGGGCAGGCCACGGTGGGGGTCAGGGGGACGCTGCTCAGAGCCCTGGGGCCGTGACCTGGAGCGAGGGCGACGTGTGTCTGAGGACCCGCATTTCCCAGCACGACGGGCAAGGCTGGGCCACTCTCGTCACCGCAAATGCCGAAGGCCACCTGGTTCTTAAAGGGCGTGCTTCTCTACGGCCTTCTGAAGAAACTCTGGAAGAAAGGGTTGACCGTCAGGATGTGTGGCAACAACACCTGCTTTCTGTCTGCTCAACACCCCCACAGCCCTGCTCTTTTACCACACCCCACGGCAGTCCGCGGGGGGACACACTGGGGGACAGCCCCACACGGACACCGTGCCCCAGAGCCCAGGATCAAAGCGGGAGCTACAGGAGTCAGTGCGTCCCGCCCCTCAGGCCGGCTGGGAATGCAGGACAGACATGGGACCCAACCTGGGACAAACGCCCGCCTGGCTGCCCAGCCTCCTCCCTGTCCAGCTGGTAACGCGATGGAAAGGGAGGGAACCAGGGTTTCAGTTTCCCTCAGAGACCCTGGCTTCCCAATTCCTGCAGTGCTCATCCGGGAAGATGGCCGGAGCGCAACACCAGACGGTGCACAGGGGCTGACACACTCACACGTGCAAGCACACACGCATGACCTTGCTGTGCAGGAGTGGCTGACCTCCTGCAGGGGACAGGGCCACCCCCAGTGGGCCCCTCCCCCAGCCTCGCCTGAAGAAGCCAGCACACCACGGAAACACGGTCCCGGGCTCCGACGCATCACCAAGGAGACGACCTCACTGGAGACCAGGCCCATGCTGAACACAGACACTGTGGGGCCGGGGTCCGCAGGTCTCCTGGCATCCACACTTGGCCCTGGCTCCACGACTGCCAGGAGTCCTGGCTCCCGCCCGCTCAGCCCCATGTGCCAGCTGGAAGGTTCCTGCAGTGAGCTGTAAGATGGCCCCCTCTGGACCTGTGAATTGGGGCCATCGAGTGCCACAGTTTGCCCCTGACCCAAGGGCCCCGCCAGGATCCCAGCAAGACTCTGAGATGGACTCCTTCCTGACTCCTCCGGAAGGAGCTTAAACCGAAATGCGGGCCGAGCAGAGGCAGGACCCTCGTGGACCACATTCAGGGAACACAGTTAAGTCACGGCAGAAACCCGCACCTCCCACACATGCTGTCCCCAGGAGTCCCCATGCGCGGTCCACGGATGCTTGTCCTCCTCACGCTGAGTCCCTCTTCTGCAACACGGCGGGCCAGCCTGCCCCCCTCCACGTCTCTCCCCCTCCCTCCATGCCCCTTCCCCCCTCTCGCCCAGAGGCCCCGGGAGTTGGCCATCCTCACCTCCTTCCCTTCCTTCTGCCCCCACCAAGCCAAACCACCTCCAGGTCTATCAGTCCAACTGACATGCTGAAGCCCTCTCCAAAACCCTCTTCTCAACCCCTCACCACCATTGGCCTCCTGACTTCACCGTCTCAGAGACCTCTGAGGAGCAGCCTCACTCCCTCCTCAACAGTCCTCTCCCGGCTCAGTCTCCTAGGCCCCACCACCTGCCACACACCAGTGTCTGTGCAGCTGCCCGCCCCACGGCTCCCCAACACCTCAGGCCAAGCCAACCCCCCAAAGTTTTGGCTTCCTGTTCACTAGACAAGTCACTGCCTCCAGGAAGCCCTCCTGGGTCCCTTCTTCATCCCACCTGGGAAGTCACCTCTCATGTCTCCGGTGTCTGGGCTCAACAGGGTCTCCTTTATTTTTCTTGAATTTATTTTTTATGTGGGCATGGGGCACTATGGCTGCCCTGCTCCACTTCATAAAGGAAGACTCATGGGGGACCTTCCCCATGAGCACTTGCCCACTGGGGGCCGCTGGGCAAGGGCCGGACGCCGGGCACGGCCAAGCCTCATCTGCTCACTCGCCCTCCTCGCTCAGGCGCCCCTCTGTAATTCCTCTTCTAGGCCTGAAGGCGTGCCGGGCCAGGCTCCCCATCCACCCAGCGTCTGTCCTCCATCCTGACGTGACCATTAGCCCCTGAAGACAGGGAGCATCCGAGTCCCCCGTTTTCTCCACGGACTTGTACGTCCTGGGCAGAGGCTGGTGTGTCTTTTCTGCAGAGGTGGCACAGGCATTATTATGTCCAGCTCTGTGTCCTGCAGTCTCTGTCCCAGCTCCTCAAGTCCGTGGTAGCTCGGACGCAGCCACAGACGCCACGTAAACGGAGGAGCGCGGCTGGGCGCCAAGACAACTATTTACAGAAATGGGCGCCGGTCTGCAAGCCAAGCCCTCCCTGCGCTGGGGACCCTCGGGGGAGACGGCCAGGGCGGGACCCCCACTCTAAGTGCTACACCAGATGCACGAGGAAGCCAGCTGGCGGGGAGGGGGAGAAGAGAAGGCCACCGCAGAGGAGCCATGAGTGCTCCCTCCCCTGGAGCCAGCTCTCAGAAGCACTCAGGGCGGGAAACACACGTCGCCGTGGGCCCGGGCCCCAGGTGGGGACTCTGCTCTCCTGCCGTCAGCAGGGGATGAGCCACCAGGGGACTCCAGAAGCCCAGGCTGGGTGAGGTCTCGAACTGTACCGTGTTCCCGACGTGCCCACTCATCAAGCCAGCCCGCGGAGCGTCCAGTGAATGCTGAGTACTCCTGCAGAAACCCTGCAGCTCGGGACACGAGGCCCCGGGGACAGCCATCTGCGCGGACGATGCCGCGGCTTGGGAGCGCCTGATGACCACCCAGCTCATTCCCCGGTCCATTTCCACCACCACCACTCTGATCTCAGGATGCTCCCCTCCCATCCCGACCTCTCCATGGCCTCCTCCCCTTCACCCTGCTTCCGTTCTTGCCGCCTGTGGCACAAATCGCTGGCTTCCTGTCCCAGCATCCAAGTACCTTCATTGTCACCAAGAGAATCTTGATTTTAGCTGGGATGGCAGTGTGGCCAGCTAACCACATCTCCCAGCTTCCCTGGTGGCAGTTCTGGCTGAAGAACTGTGAACAGAAGATTAGGTAGGAACTTCAGGAGAGCTCTTTAAAGGTGGCAGACTCAGCTAGTGTTGGCATTGTCGCCTTCAGCCTTTCCTCCTTTTGCCGCCCAGAACTCCAATTTGATGGCCGGAGCTCTGGCAGCCACCTTGTGAACATGAAAGATAAGGGTCTCACTCTAGGCACAGCCAAGTGGAAATCCACAAGAACCAGGGACCCTCACAACATACTGGAGACTTCACACCTGCTTTCTTATGCCTACTTCTAGACTTGCTAATAAACTATTAATCTCTTTAGAGTACTGTTTTCAGATTTTTGTTAACAGCAGTCAGATACAATTCTAAACAGATACAACCTCCCTATAATACATTTACCAAGCTGTAGCAGTGGCCAAAATAACGTTTTTAATGTAAATCAGAGCCTATCATTTCCCCACATGAAATGTTTCTCACTCAGATTTAACTCGAGTGGATGACCTTGGTCCACCTTCTCTCCAGCCTCTCCCACCTCACACTCCCTCCACCTTTCTGTCCCGGCCACATCTGAACACACGGAGCTTGGCCCGTCTGCAAGGCTGTGCCCCCTCTGCCTGTCAGCACCATTCAGAGCCTTTCCGAGTGTGTTTGTTCCAGAGATCAGTGTGCGAATCCACCACACGGTCTCATCAGTCCACCCAAGAAGATGGTTTCTCCGAATGACTGATCAGTAACTGGCAGGGGCTTCCCCACTCTGAGCTCCCAAACAGCTAAGGTTTCCAGAATGCTCCAAATCAAGGCAGTGGGAAGGGCAGTGGCTGCCGGGGTTGGAGGGGAGGGAGGGATGAACACGGAGGTCAGAGGGTCCTGTCCTGTCAATGTCCCCGCCCCCCACCCCTTATCCCCTCTACAGTGGGGGTGGTAGGACGGGGATGCTGAGATGGGGGAGGCTGTGCGTGGCGGGGAGGGGGTACATGGGAACTCCATGTACTTTCTGCTCAATTTCACTGTGAATCCGAAACTGCTCCTAAATATAAAGTTTATTACAAGAACACACGGGCTCAGAGAGGACCTTCCCGAGCACAGAAGGAGCACATGCGATGTGCCCCCAGCCTGGGCGCTTTCTGGCTGCGGGTAGAGACAGGAGGCCCACAGGAGGTGTACTTTCCCCTCCAATGTCAACAGGGCCGAGTCTCTGTTGGGAGACAGGGTTTGAAGGCCCACAACAAGGACGAGTCCCTACCTAGGACTGAGGTCCCTCCTCTGCGACGTCCACGGATGCACGGAGCCAGGCTCAGGACCCAGACGCAGGAGGCGGGAGAGCCCTCCTTGGAATCCGGCACCCAAAACAGAGATGTATCTCAACTCTTACCTCAAACCCAATAAACAACACTCTCAAAGGACAGAAGGACGAACGTGGGGAGAGGACCCAGCCCACAGGCACGTGCACAAACCCCGGAAGCTAGACAGAGAACAGAGGAAGATGCCCAGCGCTGTGCTGGCAAACCCTAACAACAGGCTCTCTGGGGGGAGGGGCTGCTTTGCAACGTATACTGATTTCTGGGGTGTCAACGCTGCCTTCAGACCCCCAACATGACATGCTGAACAAGGGACAGGACAGGCAGCAGGGCAGCACACCAGTGACAGCACCCACCACACAGACACAGGGCACGTGGCCTCAAGGGCAGGTAACAGCAAAACACTCAGGAAGTGGAATTTCTGCATATGTTTACCCTCACCTTTATTTTTAACACGGTTATTTAAGTCTATGTGATTCAGTTTTTGGTAACGGCTGTGTCACTGCCAGCTCTAGCGCACCGCTGCTGGTAACTAACCGACTCTGAGGACAGATGGAGATGAAACCAGAGCTGTGAGCGAGAGGTCACAGAGAACCACAGCCTGGGAAAGGGAGGGCGAGCGGGTACACGAACTTTCTGATTAAAGAAACAAAATATTTGGCTGAGGATGGAAGAAAAAATTGAGGGGGCTTCCTAAAAGTTGAACAATGTGACAGAGA